AAGACCGTGAGTATGGGGAGTAGAAGCAAGCCAGAGGTGCCTCCTCTTGTACCTTTTTCTCGCCTGTTCTTATGTCACTTTAGTGCTCAGGTGTTACGTGTTCTTCAGACTTGGTGCTCTCAAGCTGCCGAGTTCAGGTGTGTGTCCTCAGGGCTTGTCCTGACTCTGCATCACAAGATGCCCTGGGTGCACAGGGCTGCTGCTGCCTCTTGCCTTTCCTGTCATTTAGTGCAGACCTACAGCCAGGGAAGTGCTGAGGCACTAACGCTGTAACCCTTTTTTTTCTTTTTTTATTTTTTTTTATTTTTTTTTTTTTGTCACTGATCAAATAGATTGAGATTTTCTGCATTGTTAACTTTGTGCTTATAGTGCAAGTGAGCATGGTATTTTTTAATTTTCTCTTTGAATTTTGGGAGTGCTGTGACTCCAAAAATGCAAATCTCAAAGCAGTTGATGAGTAGTGGGGGGGGGGGGGATGCTTTTTTTTCCTTTTCACTTTATTTTTGCCACTAGGGGACACTGTTGACCACCACATTTCTCTCTAAAGCTCTAGACGTGTTTTCATTTTCTGACTGGAGGCACCCTTTTAACTAAGCTGAACTTGGTATGTTTAAGTTCTTCATTAGTCAAAAGGTACTTAATCTTCTGTTTATTTTTAAGCACTTTAAAGTTTAATTTAACTATTGTCTGGAGTGATCTGTCAGATCAGAATCTTGTTGAGGTTACAATTCTATTACTGTTTCCATATTAATGCTTAAAGAATAATATCCTGAATTGTTCATACTTCCATTAGATGTCATTCAAATTTCAGAAATCTTCTCTGGGCGGAAATGTATAATAAAAGATGGTAATTGAGTCTCCAGCATTTAAACAACAACAATAATAATAAAGAATATTTTAAAAAAATTTGGATGTAAATGGTCATCGTTTTCCTATAGAGTATTAGGTACATAAAGTATTAATTACATATTACAATATAAAGTATTAATTACAAATGATCTGTTTGGTCATTATGTAAAAGGACTCACTGTAACAAGTTAAATCTGTGAAAGTGTGATTTTATACTTGGGTAAAACAGTGGCGCTCACAACTTCTGTCAAGATTAAAACTGTCTTTTACTTTGCATTTTTGATTTGTGTATACCCAAATAACTTTAATTTTATGCAAACTGAATGGTGAATAGGATTTAGAAAATCTTATTGCTGTAGTACGTGGTATATTAAGTTATGAGCCTTATGGTCCCCTTAGCTGCCAAAGCTGTGAGTAGCTGCCGGAAAGCCCATCCCACCTCATGCTCCCCGCCCACGGATTGCTCCTGTACATTTAGTTGCCATGTTTAAGGAATATTAGGGAATTAGCTCCCCACCCAAAAAGGCTATTCTTAAGTTGGATCTATTCCTGGATATGTCTTACTGCTCAGTTTTGCGATCATGAAGCCCAGCATTAGGGTATTGCTAACAAAGTTGCGAGAAGAAGGGGGATTGTTCATGAGAAGTGGTCTTGAATTTAGGCTGTGTAAAAATAGTCTCTCTATCAAAGCAGAGAAGGAGAATCCCTACAGATGGAGAAGTCAGAGAAGTGTCCACATCTGTATCTGCTGCTAGGAATCCTTAAAGGATGTGAATAAGCAAGGTATTTTGTGACCTCAACCAAGTACTTTAGACACTGCTGATCTGCAAAGACTGTAGAGCCTGTACGGTCCAGACTGGTGTATCAAGCCCAATATATTATCTTCAATGCTGGCCTTAATTAGCTACTTAAGAAAAAGCATATGGCAACCCCCCCTGGGTAGACTCCAGCCCGTAACTGCTTTCAGCTAATGAGATTGCCTTAGCCTGACTAATTTCTGTCTATTTAGTAAAACTCAGGAATCGCTCTTCTAGATTTTTGTTGTCCTTGACCCAGAGTAAACCTTGGCATCCTGAACATCCTTTGTAACAGAGCTCCTTGCTAAGGAGCTCTGCTACTTATTGCATGAACAACTGGCTCCTTTGTTTTTGGTTTTGTACATGGCTTCTTCAAGCTGCATTTGATGGATCTCAGCTCTTTACTCAGAAGAGAGTCTTTAGTCTCTTTCCTATCTACCCCCTCTGTGGTACTTTATTTTGTAGACCTTTATCATTTGCTTCTAAATTACATTTTTTTTTTTCCTATTTATTTTTTGGTTTTATATTTACTCTTTTTCCTATGGCTGAAGAGTTCCAGTCTACTTGGTTGTTTCAACTACAGAAATCATTCCATTCATTTCAACATTTTAGTTCCTCTTCTCTAATACTCAGCTCTAATATGTCCTTCTGGAGAGAGGCGAAGTTTAGGTGTGACCAAAGCACTGATTCATACAATGGTATAATGAAGTATTCCTAACACAGTTTGCTTTTTTGATTATTGCAGAGTATTTAGATGATATTTTGATGCACTTACTGAAATTTTGAGACTTTATTGTTGAGCAGTAATGGTCAACTAAAAACCTATCTTCTTAGTCAAGCTAGAATTGTTTGTCATCATAAATAGTTTTACGTTTACCTATATTCAATTTCATCTGTTATTCTATTGCCTTATCTTGCGCTTACATAGTGTTCTTCAGTTCATCCAAAGTTGATCTTACTCTTCCTACCAATAAATTGACATCAATGGCAACCTTTCTTCATGGCTTACCCTCTTTTGAGATAATGTGTATGCTGAAGTGCATAGATTCCAGGAAAGATCCTTGTGGGACTCTGCTGCTGATGTCCTTCCCTTTCAGAAGTGGTCATTTACTCCTGACTTCCAAAAGTCAATTTATCCATGCAAAGACCTTTACTCTTTTGCTGCAGCAGGCAAACCTTCCTAACAATCTTTGGAGAGAAATTTGGTTGAAATCCTCATCAGCTTTATCAACTGGATCACTCTTTGCCATCTTGATATCTCAAAACAGCTCTGGGAGTTTTGCAAGAGACGCCTTCTCTTAGAAAAAAAAAAAAAAAAAAAAAAAAAAAAAAAAAAAAAAGCCATAATGATTTTTACAAGTAGATTGCAGTTCTCTCTCTATTATCTAATTCTTTTTCTGCAGTTTATATAATTTCTGCTAATTTATCTCCTAGGGACATAGATGTTACACACTGACAGTTTTTCAGATCTTTCCTGGAACAAATGTTGATGTTGCGTGTGCCATACTCTAGTTCCTGTTAAAATCAGGTTGAGGTTGAGGTTGGAAGAGATCTCTAGAGATTGTCTAGTCTGCCTGCCTTGCTGAAGCCAAGACATTACTGTAGTTAGTTGCTGCTCAAAATAATTAAAAAACAAACAAACAAACRAAAAAACACATGCATGATTGTAGTTTGGCATTTCGTTTGTTTGATTTTTGTTGTCGATTCCTGTTCTTCACTTGATTATTGTATAAGCTTTTGAGTTTTTTTATTACTTTACACTGATGTTAGCTACTGCATCTTCCTTTTATCTTTGCTCAGTTATTTCTTAACAGATATAATGCATGATCGCTGTATTTCCCTGATAGTGTCCTCAGTAACCTGCCTGCTGTCAGTCAGAGTCTACTTTTCTTGGTTGCGCCTTTTAGCTTTATTTTTTTTCCTTGTAATTTACATCTTACTTTTCAAACAGCTGCTTTTTATGTTGAGGACAACCCTAGTGAGTTTTCTGACTCTTTCTACCCAAATAATACACTGATGTGCCAAAGTGTTGTAAAAGAAAATAGAATTGGGTGTTAAGAGGGCAATTTTTCCTTAAGTGGAGAATTCCTACATTTTCCCTTTAGCTCTACATGTCTTTGATTTAAAATTACATCTGTAGATTATTGGCCATTTTTTTGTTGTATGTAGACTAATCTTGTGTGTGTGTGCATGCACGTGTGTTTGTTGCCATTCTCTTCTCCAAGAAGTCCTTAGTTGCCCGTCTGACTTCAACTTGGTCTTTCAGTATGTCGAGTAGTTTGAGTCAAGGATTTATTAAAGCTAGGCAGGCTGAGAGGGAAGTACATTGCTTACAGTATAACCATCAAATAATTTAGCTATCATACAATATCTATCTACCATCACCCATGATAAAAGTTTCAGTAGCACAATTACAAATGCCAAAGCTAGAACACATTGGTGTCCTAAAAATTTCAGTATTTCCCAAATGGAAATAAAGCCGGGCAGTAACACTGTAGTAGTCACTGACACGAGGGAAGAAGCGAGTATGCTGTTTTCAGCAGTTTTAAGCATATTTGCAGTTCTTAAGTTCTTTTTAATGTACAGAACATAAGCTAATAATGAAGAGATCACATGGTTATTACAGAACAAATGAGAAAATAAATGTTTCTGTTTCTCAGGATTTTAATAAAATGGGGAAAAGGCACGTTTTGCTGACTTTTGTGTATTTGGCAAGAATTGGCTAAAAATATGTTCTAAAATAATGTATAGTTGCTAGGTTTAGTAACCTGTAGAATGTTCTGTAAATTTTATAAAAATTTAATATTCAAAATCCTTCTTTTTATAAAGCAGTTTACATTGTGTTTTCCTCTTGAAAGCTGCTGCAATATGGTATTGACAACGACCAAACTTTAATTCCCAAGACTGAATATACTGTAATCTATATTATAATGTAAATTACTGTGATGTCATGCACTTTGATATAAACATACTCTGGTTAGTTCAAACATGGTATAATTCTTTTCCAGAGGTAACAAGCAGTGCACATTTTGCGACACATTTTTAGAGCCATGCAGCATTGGAAAACATGGTGCCTTATGCCTTCTTTCAATTTGTGACTCATACAGTATGTTTTCTGAGAAGAATGCAAAAGCGTGTCATTATTTGAGCTAATCTAACATTTCCAATTTCACTGACATGCCTTGTCAGATTTTCTTTTGCATTGAACGTCTGTTGAACATAAAAGTCTCTTCTGTATTTTATCAAAATGAGCAATCCTGACATCTGTAATTAAGCCTTCCTTATTTCTCTTTTATTGGATTTAACGTCTCCGTGTAACAGATTGTACCAATTGCACATTTGTTTGTGAAACAGGTCCAGATTGTTCTTTGAACGTCCCCTCCACGGAGTCTTACTGGATCCTACCAAACGTCAAGCCGTTCAGCCCGTCCGTGGGCCGGGCTTCCCATAAAGCAGTTCTCCATGGAAAATTTATGTGGGTCATTGGTGGATATACTTTTAACTACAGTGCGTTCCAGATGGTGTTGAAGTAAGTGATCTCTGCTTTGTGATGTCCTTTCTGATACTGCTTAGGGAAAATTAATCTTAATAGGGAGATAGCATCTATTCTGCAATTTAATGGAAACGCTTATATTTTCATATTTTGTTATAAATTTTCTATTTTGTTAYAGATTCTTCATTAACTTTCTTACTTTCTGGTCATAATTTGCCTATAATAGAAGAAAGTTAAAATATGAGTAGTAATGAAGTAGATGTGATATTGATATGTAACCTCATTTTTTTGTGAAAACTTTTCTCTGCTGCAAAATATAAGAAAAGTAATAGYAATGGAAAGTTTAGTGTGTTGGTATTTTCAAATAGTATATCTATATTGCTATTGGTAATATTGAAGTGAATTTATAATTACAGGAGACTCGCTTTTGATGCGCGCACCTAGCCTGTGGTTGACCTGGGGGGTAGTAGAGGTAGTTTGTTCCCGCTTCACTGAGGTTATAGTGCCTCATGATTTAGACAGGTTGTAAATATATTTATTGACCAGCTAATTAAAAACATGAAATTGAAGCAGCTGTAAATATCACCTAGCTGATTTGGATGATATTTTGTRTATATGCATAAGCCCTTTCGTCATCTTGCTTTCTTCCATAACCTCACAGTCACACAAAACAGTGTTGCCAACTCTGTTTTTTTCYGTTTCTGTCTTTCTCATCTTAATGTTGCCTCTCATTGAACTTGAAGTTAATTGAAGTTAAAGTCACATGGCTGAGAAGATTCTCCATGGCTTTTTTTTTCCCTTTTTTTAAAGTTACTGCATAGAACTGTAGTATAAGAAATTCAATGTTTTTTTCTTATTGTGTGTGCTTTGCAGATAATAGTGAGCTCAATCTGATTTTATAACTTTCTTTTATTTCTTATTTTTATTATAATTCCATTTTCTGAGCTTGTTGATGGTTCCCTGGAAGAGCCACGCCTGCTTTCTTGGATGCCCCTTCAGGACACTATGATCACGACTGAAAGTGATATTACTGCTGCTGACAGACTGCCATGTGTCAGATAAAGCACTGTAACTCCTCAAATGTGCACTCTTTGCAAAACCAAGTAGTTCAAACATGCAACAACTCCAGTTTCTGGGGAGGTAGAAAACATTTACTTTTCTATTTCTCTTTTAGCTACAATTTGGAAAGCAGTATATGGAATGTAGTGCCTGTATCCAAAGGGCCACTCCAGAGATACGGACACACTCTTGCTTTATATCAGGTTTGGACTCTTCAGCATCCTATTTAATTTCTTCGTGTGCACTGTTAATAATCTTAAAATGAGTCATCATGAACATAGGTCTTTGAGGATAACTTAGCTTCTAGTCTCTGAGCACTTTAGTGTTCTCTTCAGTACCTAAAAGATCTATTGCTTGATTTTTGAGGGAAGGTTGTAAGTAACTTTTCAGCAGGCAATAAACTCTCAAAGCTAAACAAGCAAATAAAGAAGCTTTTATGTAATTGGAGTTATTCTGGTAGGCATCAGACAGCAGCAAGGGACACATCTTCCCTAAGGGACAGCAAACYAGGAGCCAAGGGTGTCTCAGTGCGGGCAGTGCCCTTGCTGATGGGTGCTGCCCCATGGGGTTTGAACCTGGGGAGCAGAGCCAGGTGCTGTATGACAGGGGACATCCACAGACATGGACAAGACAAGGGATGAATCGGCCCCAGGAGCCTTCCAGGCTCCAGAGAGGAGCAAAGGGAGATGGGGCCAGAGGCAGGACTGGAGATGAGGCTCACACCTGAGGTCCATCCAGGAGACAAGCTTCCTGCAGCACAGGTCCGAGGCCCATCCAGGAGGCAAGGCTRGAGACCCAGCGCTGCTGCAGCACAGCCCAGGCAGGGACAGAGCCCTGGGCCGGGCTGAGATGGGTGCACATGGAGACCCTGAGTGAGGCTGGTTCGGGCCATTGAGTTCCACAAGTGCCCTGACAGTAAGGAATACGCTCTTATTTCTGTTTTGTTAGTCTTAGTACAGAGACAGCACAGGAGTAAAAACCAAACTGTTGTTCTATAGTATCATTTTACTGTAAGTTCATATAGACCTAAACTACTGATAGTCTTGCTTCTACAGATAATATGTAGTCTGCTAAGCTACGTTATTGGGAGCACTACCCTGCTTGAGCAGGCAGGGTTGGACTAGATCATGTCTAGAGGTGCCTTCCAACCTTAATCATTCTGTAATTCTGTGAAAAGGGATTTTTGTACTGGGGGACAGAATTGATGTTTGTGGAACAGGTCCAAAATGTTCTTTAGTATTTGGCTAGTGTTAACCTCTTCTYCAAAAGATACTCAGTGAAAGAGGTGCAAACTTGAGACTTCTGCAGATGATGACTTGTTAGCTCTGACAGGGAAATACAGAATTCACATCTCGGTGTGAAGTGAAATTTTCTGTTGTTTGCATAATATATCTTCAGTGGGGAAGAACAAAGAAAATTCTTGACAAGGCAGACCAGAGTGTCCTTCTAGCCTGGCTACATGTCTCAAATAGTGGCTAACAGTGAATGCCTAGAGGAATATAAGAGAAAAGAGAAAGGCAAGAATATTAGGCTTTTGCAGAATACTCGCCTGCCCTGCAAATGGGATTTTCTAAACCAGAGTAATATCTTTTTTTTGTGGAAAGATTATAAATCTGTGGGTCACTTGCATCTGTTACAGCCTATTTTTAGCATCTTTATCATCCTATGGCTAAGAATTCTACAGTGTTGTATAAGGAAATATGACCTTTAAGGAAGCAGCTACTTGCTGGTAATTTTGACATTCCTTATTAGATTTTTCTTTTGACCGTGATTTTGTGCAAGTCCATCATATTGTATATGCCATCTCTTTTTTCTTTCTGACTGAAARTTCCTTGTCTTAATAATCCCCTAGAGTAGAGCTATTTTACACCTTTGATAATTATCTCACTTCTACCTTTTCTAGTTCTGTTATATTCCTGTTGAGATGGAGGGAACCACAGTGTTTGAGGTATTGATGCAACAGAGACTTCTGTAACGACTTAATTATGTTATAGATTTCATGGTCTAATATTTTCCTAATAATTCTTAACAGTATTTTTGCTTTTTAAACATGTGGTATAGAGCTTATTTTTAACAAGTATTATTTTCACAGAGCTATAAATTATAACCTCAAGTTCTCATTACAGTCTATTCACAAGCCCTCACTAGATGTACAAGGCTGAAATTGCCTCGTTTCACTGGGCATAACCTCACACTTCTCAATTTGGATATTTTTATTTATCCTTTTATTCAGTATTATGAGATTCTTTTGCTGGTGATCATTATATTTCCTGTCTTGAGTAGGTTAGTATTGCCTACAGACTAGGTTATTTATCTGTTCATACATGTTAGAGATTATTTTTGAGTATGTTGAACAACTGAGTCCTAACTGTAACTCTCTTGGGGGACTCTGACTTTTCTGCTCTGTGAGAAGTGAATGTTTTTTAGTGAACTTTATTTATTGGATTATATATCTATGTGATGTTTGCTTTACATTTTTCAGAGCAAATTTATTTAAGAGATGCAAAAGCCTCAAACTAGACATTTGTTCCTTTCAGGAAACTCCAATTATTTGTGAGGTTTAACCTCCCTTTTCAAAAGCTTTCTGATTTTTCCCCAGTATATTTTAAATGTTCATGTGTTCACTAATTCTGCCCTTTAGATGGTTTCTGCCTCTGTACATGTGATACAAATAAGTTTTATTGTCGTTTGTGCAAACTCTCTTTAATTGTATTTTAAAAATGATACAAGTATGAATATAGTTTTAGTATGAACATATTTTTAAAGAGGGATTTAAAGAGAGATTATTTTTTCCTTTATTAATTTATACTATAAACTCTTTTACTGCTACTGGAATTTAAATACTTCTGCAATGCCTCTTGTGTTAAGAAAGATCTGATGTGGCAATATCTACCACAAAGAAGTCAAAAATTGACTTCATTCTATTTCTGTAGCCAGATCTTTTCCTTCAAGCTCCCTGTTGCTACTACAAGTTATTTAGTTAGCTGTATTTCTAATGTGTTTAAGAAATGCACTGTTAGGAGTTTTTATATTTTCTTTAATTTTTCAGTTTACCTTCTATGTCTTCACATTTTAATCTGCTGAATCTGAATTTTAATTCTTTCTTCTAACAATTATCCTATTGTTAAATTCAGCTAGATTTATTTTGTTATTTCTAATGGGGAAATGTATTTTTTTTAATAGGAAGTATGAGATTGGAGTGGATGCTCTTAAAGCATCTCCATACTGTCATTAAAGATTTTATTCTTTTAGCTGTACTCTCTTGCTTCTTTTTATGAACAGCTTTATTCAGATTCTATTCTGAAGTGGAGTAATTGTGTGTGTGTGTGTGTGTGTGGTCTGTTGGTTTTCCAGATATATTAAATCTGAATATTTTATGAACAAAATACTGTTTTTGAATAGTAATGTAGAACTGCATTCTCTGCATGAATTCAAAAATTCACTTTTCTCATGAGTTTTCCTATTTGTTACTATATGCATATGTATCATTTATTTTAGAGTAAAGGCCCTCACAATGTTTTAACTATTTCTTTTTGACAGTACTAATACATTTCTGAGATATTCCAGACCAGAGAACAAGGATTTCAGAGACATTTTTACCAACARGCAGAAAATATGAGAGATTTTTGTCAATTCTCCAGAGGTCTTTTCAGACCTCAGTGAGGAAATGCGACTAATATARTTAATAATTAATAGTAATGAAAATTACAAGCAGCGGTCTAGTTACAAAGCCATTGTTCCTGTCTAATATTAATTAGTAATTTGAATCCACTGATAMTGAACATAGGGCCAATCATGTAAAATAAATAATTAACTAGTGTGTTCTTGTGCTGTTTAGTCTGTCATGTCAAAAACTGCAAAGGCTGAAAGGAGCTGATCATTTGAGAAGAGAAACTTTCAAGTTGAAAGTGTCATGCCTTTAAAAGAAGTTCTTAAATTTTGTTATTAGGATAAAGCCCCCTATATGTCTTTTCAGATGATCAGTCTCTGGAAAGCAGAGAAATAGCTTTTTTTTATGAACAGACGCAGAATATTTTAATACCTTGAGATGGCATTTTTTAGCTGTGTTTTAAGCTGTATGCTAGTCGTTGTGTAACACGTTCTTTTTAGTTGAGAACAAAAATATCTACAGAGAAGAAATTAAATTGAGCTCCTGCGATTTCAAAGCCTAGCACAAGACCATGGAGCTCGTATTGCCTGATTGTGTTGCAAGGTAAATTGAAGCTATATAATTGACTCTGTGGAGAATGAAATAAGGTACTGTGCCCATTTCCCTCAGAAAGCTTCTTTAGTTAAAATTGAAGTACCGTACTTCTTTATTCTGAAGAAAAAAGATCAGAAGACTCCCACTGATGTATAGTTACAACTAGTGACTAAGACTTTCTTAGGCATTTGTAGAGGAGAGGAGAGATGTGAAAGTTTTCTTGCTTTCAGACCTACTGTTACATAGAATGACCTTCAAAGCCTCTTCAAACTGGTGATTGGAGGGGTATTACCCATCTTGCTAGAATTGGTTCTGCCATATCTCAAACATTATATGTAGTTCCAAGCATCTGGATACCAAGAAATGTCAACATATTTTGAAATGATTCGTGGAAAGAGATTATTGATAGACCAGAGGGAATGGCTTCTGAAGTTTCTAAAGGTCTTACAGCATTGCTAGTAAGCAGTGACTAGATAGGAAATTAGCTAGTAAATTTAAAAAATACAAGATTCCTGGAATAAAGCAGACTGAGAAGTACATAAAACTTGACCTCATAATTAAACTGTTTTTGGTACTCTTAAGACAGTGGAAAGATGACTGGACATCCTGGTATTTTTATTTATCTAATTGAACATTAAATTATCTAATTGAACATCTAATTGAGCTCTACTCAGCTCTGGTGAGGCCGCACCTGGAGTACTGTGTTCAGTTCTGGGCACCCCAGTATAGGAGGGACGTGGAGCTTCTGGAGAGGGTCCAGAGAAGGGCAATCAGGATGATTAAGGGAATGGAACATCTCTCGTATGAAGAGAGGCTGAGYGAGCTGGGCCTGTTTTCTCTGGAGAAGAGACGGCTCAGAGGGGATATGATTAATATGTAYAAGTTCAGGAAGGGAGAATGCAGGGAGGAAGGGGACAGGCTGTTCTCACTGGTGGCCAGCGATAGGACGAGGGGTAATGGCCACGAGCTGAAGCATAAGAAGTTCTGTCTCCAGGTGAGGAGCAACTTCTTTACTGTTAGGGTGACAGAGCAGTGGAACAGGCTSCCCAGGGAGGTTGTGGAGTCTCCTACTCTGGAGGTCTTCAAAACCCGCCTGGATGCCGCCCTGTGCCACATGCTCTAGGTGTGCCTGCTTGAGCAGGAAGGTTGGACTAGATGGTCCCTTCTAACCTTAAATAATCTGTGAATCTGTGAAGGCTAGAGCTGACAAAATAAACAACAATAGCACTTTTGTTTGCTTTGTTACAGGTGAGTGTCTTTTGCCAATTGGTGTGTTACTGTTGTTTTATATAAGCATCTTTGTAGGCTATTGTGGTTGTAGCCTATGGTTGGGGCCCATTTGTAGGCTATTTAGGACAGCTCTAGTAATGAAAAGTCTTAATTTTTCAGTTTTTATTATCAGGTTGTACACCAAGTGCACATAGATTATTACTCTATGCCTTTCAATTATATCCAATCCATGCATGGCTTGCCTTTTAATTCTTGTCCACAGAAGRCCTCAGAAGTTGTTGAAAAATAGATAAGATGAGCCATTACACACTTAAAAGTGGTTTAGATCAGAGCATATTCAGAGTTCATTTTCAACGGACTTTACACATCGAGAGAGTAGTTTTTTTACATAAAAATGCTGTGCTACTGGGTTCAGTATTACATTTCAGTCAGTTTAAAAGGTGAAGCCCAAACATCATTGGCCTCTGTCTAGCAGGTCTAAAAGCAGAGGCATGGTTAATTCTCTTCTATGCAGTCCTCATTACTTATTCCTTTCTTTCAATATTTTTAATCCAAATATTCAGTATGGAAATGACATTGACTGACATTGCTGCTAGAATTCCAGCTGTACCTTCATCAATATTAAATCTCTGCTTGCATAGCTTTTTTGGACACTTCCCACACTTTCCATCCTAGTTTTCTATAAATGAAGGAATGTTCATGAAAGCAAGGAAATGTGGAAGTTAGGCTTTTGCCAGAAGTACTCTACCTTCTTTCCTGTCAAAAAATAATGACTTTAGGAGGTAAACAAACAGACTTAAGGGAATTCTTCTTTGAAGTAAACCTTATGTACAGTGTGAAACAACTTTGAAATTAGTGGAAATGAAGAGGTAACATGCCAGGACTTTTGAGGAAGTTTAAACTGAGATATAAACTGCTGCAATATGTGCTATCATGAACTTGGATTTGATCCTGTTTGGAAGCTTAGGTTATAATATGCTCCATTTGTAACTCAGCGTGCGTTTTRTTTAGGTTCTTATTCAGCATACATCTAGTTCCACAATAAGCTTAGAATAATAAAACAGACTGGGAGAGGGAGACCTTTTCCTGAAAAAGATGTAATTGTCACAAGGAATGAGTCTGTCCTGTGTTCTGTCCACCCTGATCTGGTGGGAGGATTATGGAATCAAGTGGRGATGTTGACTATTCATTTCTGTTCTTTACAGAAGAGAAAAATGAATATTCCCAATGGTGTTACCATATTGAAAAAGTTAATGGTTTGGGGAAAGGAGGAGGAGATGTTAGACAGGCCTAACCCAGGTGCTGTGTATTAAATGCTAAAATTGATTTGCAGTGAATGAGTTACTGTCAGATAGTTTCCTCAAGTCCCATGTTAATATATGATAACTTCTAGTCTTATTGTGATACATGGTGCAATAGGAGAGTTTTACATTGCCTTTTAGTTGTAATTCCAATTTAACATTACCTGATTTGAAAATTTTGCTGAATGTTGCCCATTCTGTAGGGATTCTCAAATTGTCATCCTGGTCCATCAAGTGAAATGTTTCTTTGTGCTTTTTTTGGAAGAGTTGAGAGAGAGAAGGAACTGAGAATGTGATCGGAAAAGGCTTCTGGCTATCACTACCTTCATTGCTCATTACTATCAAGAGATACTTGATATGATTTAACAAGTAGTTTTAGACCTTYGATAGAATCTAGCTGTGCTGAGTTAGCGTATTCCTCTGTTACAGTGTCTGTAAAAAGAGGATTCAGGTGCTTATAAGGGATATTTTCTTGAAAAATGTTAATGCTGACCGAGAATGAGTGTATGGGATCATTCACAAGGTTGTGTCGTAATCCTTTTGTTTGTTCATGCTTTGTATTTAGTTCCTGAGAACTACTTTCTGGATGTACCACAAAAATTGCTTTAGTAATGCAGCAAGTTCTATTGCTTCAGATACAGGAAGTTTTTGTTCGTTTGTTTTTTAATTTAAACCCTAAAATTCAGTCARCTGTTTGGTCTTATGGAGGGAAAAGGAATGACATGAAGACTCAAGTAAGTTSAATAAGAATCAAAGGTGCTATATTTTAGTGAATAAAGATATTTATTTTTATTTATACAAAAATTTTGAGAATGAGAGGTGTCTAGGTATTTCTGCCTGAAGGCTGATGAGAGATTGTAGCTCCACAGTATGCCTGAGGCTGTGGTATTAAATGGCAATTCTGAAACATGAATTGCAATCTTTGTTTACAGAAACCATTTAGATGGGGGAATTCAGTTCCACAGTCAAAAACAGAGATGAGCAAAGAGCAATCTGTTCTAATCTACTTACTCCTAGTAGTTGGCAAACACTAGAGTAAAATACCAGCTTACTGTAACTTTCCTGGATAATATGTCCTGGAGGAATTAAGTATCTCAAGTAGCTTACTGGCTACAGCATGTTTTTGAGCCCTGTGGGCACCAAAGTGGGTACCTTTACTYGGTCTTTTAGCTTTCTGTTGGGTAGCTGCCTTGGCCTGTGTTGTTTTCCTCACTCTAAACGGCCCCTTTGTAAAGCACTTGAAGCCAGGTGATTCAAATCACCGTGCCATAGCTAGGCGATGCTGCTGGGCGGGCACAATTTTCTGAAAGTCTTAGAAATCAGAAGCTGTGGGACAGCTGAAGTTCTGCAGCACAGTGACGTCTGCACGACTCCGGATAGGAAAGGAGCTTAGATATAGGAGGAAAGCATGTAGCAGATTCAGTGGCTCGTTTCCAAGACGTGGGAAGCCCATKCTGGCAGGGTGAACTGAAGTTGAATCTTCAGGGAAGAAAAATGAAGCCTGTGTGTTTACACTTGGGCAAACAGCTTAAAACATAGTTCATGCCATCACATTGTTTTTCATTAAGGAAAATTCTACAGTAAAATTATTGAAAAAGCTGCTGTACAAAGTGTATCTTAATGCAGTGGTTGTAGGCAACACCAGTCAATGCATCAATGCTGACATGAGCCACGGTATTGTTGAGATCAGTCCTTTTGCTGGACAGTTTAATGGTAGCACCATGTTACCTAAATATCTAATAGTGGACAGAAAAAGATACGTGATTAATAGTCTTTTAGAAGTTTAATAATAGTTGTAATATGATAATATAATAGTTTAATAATAGTTGTAATATGATAATATAATAGTTTAATGATTAAATAACTAAAATATTATAATAGTTTAGAGATTAGGCGAAAGGAGGAGGCAGGGTCACAGGTTAACTCTGATTCATTTTATGATGAATTATCCTAGCAGGAAATGGGTCAAGTGTTGAGACACCATCAATATTTTGCCTTAAAAAGGAATGGGATGCTCATATTCAGTGCACTTACCTTTCTCTCATCACCTAGGAATTTTTATCAACCTTGATGTTGCTCATTCCTCTAAGGTCGGAAGCTGATATTTTGGTAGTTTTCAGATCAAATTTAAGCTTCCCCACTGAAGCTAAAATTTACACTCTGAAAAATGAAATTGCATTCTGGTTCTTCGTCCTTTGTCAGCATTCCGGTTATACTCCAATTGGCACTATTCCCAAGGCAACTTTGGAGCCAGAAGAGTTTGAAACACGTTTTTTATTTTCTGTCTTTATCAGTGACAGCTAATGAAAGAAGGCAGTATCTGAAGGAATTGCATTTTCTTTTCAAAACAAACAAAAATAAAACCAGTTTCCTCCTCCTTTCTAGTTAACACTTACTAAGAATTGAGAGATATTTCAAAACAAGCCTTCCTGCTATGTTTCGATGCATTCCCGCAACAATGTGCCGGTCTGTGATGCTGACAAGTTTGAATTCATTCTGTAATTGCATTCCTTTGTATGCTCTGATTTACTCTTCTTGATGGGGAATTTAAGCTCAACTGGTAGAGTCAGCCTTCAATACTTAAGTAAAGCATTCATTACTTATCAAGAGAGATGGAATTACTGTTTCAGATATGTGGTCCATGAAGACTGTGAAATCTGTTTTGCTTCTTCTTAGAAGAGCTCAAGGTGTTGCCCTATACCATTTAATGTTAGCAAATGCACCTGAGAGGATGCTGTTCATGTCAGCCCTTTTCTTTAGGCACAATTTTGAGGATTTATCAGCACTTAAGTTACATTGCTATTAATAGAAAGTGTGGTCTCTGGCACACTCACAAAATAAAATCCCCATAGGTAAGGCTTAGTATGGAAAGTAACATGTAAACAGTATAAAATCATTTTTAATAGAAATCTGTATTATGAATTAAGAGACAGGTAATGAAGGGTTTTCTGCCCATAGTAGTCTGACTTAGACTCATTTTAATGTCATTTTCATATTTGCATTTTTTTCCTCTGTAAAAGTGTCTTTATCATCACCTTTGATTTCGTTTAAGTATCGCTGTCTGGGATTAAGTCTTGATAAGTCTGATTAATATAATGCCAATTAAATGTGAAGATTTATATCTCATGTTATGAAATACACACTGTAGAATTACGCGGTTCAAATGTTATCTGTTTTTCTGCTCCATTAATTCTTTCTCTYCCCCTTCCCAATTTTTGCAGGACGACATCTACATGTATGGAGGCAAAATTGAAACCAACAATGGGAACGTCACTGATGAGTTGTGGATTTTCAACATACCCAGTCAAGCCTGGAGTACCAGAACTCCCGCAGTGCTTGTACATGGCCAACAATATGCTGTGGAGGGTCACTCAGCACACATAGTAGAGCTGGATAGCAGAGATGTAGTTATGATCATCATTTTTGGATACTCTGCCATATACGGCTATACAAGCATTGTGCAAGAATACTACATCAGTAAGTTTCGTTCRAATTGTTTTTGTCAGGTCCTGATAATTTTAACTGAAGGACACTTTTGGTTTTAGATATGTTTAATATTTGAATAATAGATATGTTTATGTTTGAATAAACACAATTTCATCTTTTTTGCTTACCTATAAATTTTGCAGAACAGCTTTCATGTTAATCATTAGCGTTTCRGGCATGTTTGAGGTGCACTTCCTTTGGATATCCATTATCATGCTTATGAATGTGGGATTCTAATGAATGCAAAGGTGAAACCAGAACTTTCACACGGCAGTTGTGGTTATGATAAAACTTGCCCATTTTTGCCACAGAGTAGATGGAGTAAAAAATATTAAATAGATCAAAAAAGAAAATTAAAATAGAGCATTATGCACATTAGCTACCAAAAGAATCTAGGTRTTTTAAGGCTTTAACTAATAATGCTCTAATATTTTCATTCTGATTTTCAAAGTAATAACTTCAAATTGTCATTTATCTGATTCTGTCTAAAGCAAACAATTGTTGCTATTAGTAGTGAAGAAATATAATTAATGTCAATTTTCATAAATAATTTGCTACAACTGTGAAGAGACCTCCTGCAAACTTGCAAGATTTGGATTATTTTAGATTTTTAGAACTAAATAACCTTCTCACATTCATATAAAACACAAGAAAGCACAAACTATAGTGCTTTATCTCCTACGTAGTAATTCCAAGATCTTGTTTTTGTCGGGGAAAAAGAAAATATGCCTTATGATGAATCCTTAAGAATATTAATATGCCTATTAATTGAAATGCTAATCTTCTCTTGCCTTTTTCATTTTATTTTGCATAAAATTGACCCAGTTTTCTAACAGTTATTTAAAGAATCACAGAATACATGCATATAAAATTCAGGGTAATATTTTTATGTTACAGTATTGGACATCATGAGGTGTTTAATTTTATTTCTTTTTGTATGGATGTATTACTGCATATGTATAGAAACACTATATTTAYGTAGATTTTTGGGATGGGGAAACCCATTCAAACCTTATACTCAGAGCCCTTGTACTTTCTTGGCAACTTAGCTTTGACAGTGTTAAAGTTTGTAACAGTGCAAAACAAGGAAAAAAGGAATGGGAATAGGAAGAAGACGGTCACAATACTTTTTGTTCACGTCGACAAGTTTTGTAAAACATCATGCAACTATTCTTAAAATTCAATATTTAATCTTCTCAAAAAAATGTTTCTCTACGACATTTTAAGCTTAAGGCAAGGGATAAATGACTAGTAACTACATTTAATCTCTGAAGGAATCAAAAAGAAAGAAAATACTAGAAATCTAGTTTTAAAGAGAAAGAAAATGAATAAAGAATAAAGAAAATGAATAAAAAAAGTTATTCTAATATTCTGAGCTTTTTAAATTCTAATATCTATTGAAATATTGAATATCACGTGCTTCTTTGCTAGTGTGGAGAAGAGTACCAAGATTATTCTTCATCATTATTTATTAGATTGCTAGTGAAGAGAGAAGAAAAAAAAATGAGGAGCAGCATATGGTTCCCTGTGCAATGTAAAATTTTCTCTGTCTGTGGAGTATTTTATTGCTGGCTTGATAGAAATGTGCAACTCGTTCCTATTTTAAAACTTCCTTAATATGCTAGAGCTGCACTTGAGAAGGATTAGTAAAAAGGACTGTTATCTACAACTAAGCATATTGAAAAAACAAACAGAAAATCCCTTTCAACCAGTGGCTATAAGCTCTAAGCAGGAGAAAAAACATTTTGCTCTGTGGGTCTAAAATAATCTCAACTGATTGTCTCCATTCTGAGGTAATATTATGAGGGTGGGAAATCTAGTTTTTAGCAGAAAATGTGCTTCATTATTGCATTACTTATAAAATATAGGGTCTTGCAGTGTAAACCCATGAATTTCAGTGAATCTGTGGTGATCATTATTTGCTCGGGCAGTGCTTTGCAGAACGTGCTTTATGAGCTGTGGCTGGGTAATTTTGCAATTGAGAATCCTCATGTTTAACCTCCTGGACTGTCCAGTGTTTCCTTCCCCCAAGTTTGAATGAATCTTATGGCAATTTTTCCTGAATTTTGTGCCACATGCAGCATTTATCTACAGTTTTGCTTGGGTAGGACCATTTTTCACCCTGGAATTCCAGGGTGCACTGGTTAGAACTGAAGGACTAGTTTCTTTGATATTTTAGCCTCTAAATGCAGTAGGTATTGGAGAGGGTGAAAATGGTGCCCTAAACCCCCTAGAAATCACAGCTACAAAGGAAGAGTCATCCAGAAGGGTTTCTGACCTTGCAGAGTCCCTCTTTTATCTGCTTGCTTGAAAACACATACTGCTGTAGCATTTCACATTCTCTGGAGGTTATCACCCATGATGCTTGTAATGAAGAGGATTTTTCAAGTGTTTACCACTTACCTACTGAAACATGTATCTTAAACCATGATCTAATCATGTTTTAATATATGAAAATCTGGTGATAAAGTCTGCTTCAGGTACGACCTGTGTTTCAGTAGCCTTGAGTTAGGAACCACCTAAAAAGGGCTTGTTTGTGGACTCCTTGGTTTTACCCATAGGTGTTGTGCTTTGCAGTTCTTTTGACAAAATGTGTTTATCTAACGTGTGCATCATCCAAAAATTTCTTTGATGTTGTCAGATGAGTGAAGAAAGTGATTTGTGATGAAGGCAAATAAGTGGTAGAAAAATCAGACGTGATCTGCAGCCAGACTTTCCCCTTGTGAAAGCTGGGGGATTCATTTCTGCTCCAGAGGCATCGTGGCTGTTGCAAGAGCAAAGGAGCTTCCCCGTGTCCTTTCTTGCTATACTCAGAGTTATGGCTTTGAGTAACCAATAAATCTTGATATGGGAATTATGTGAATTGTTTTACTAACCTGGACCATAAAGCTTTTCTGGGTTACTCCCCAGGGAAATTTATTTCCCTTTAGGCTAGCAATACCTTATAAACCTGAAAATCTCAATGTGAGTCTGAAGGTGAATATAATATTAGTATTGTTTTAGTTGAAGTTTCAAAAAGCCTTCATAGAGGATTCTGTGTTTATAAATACAAATATTAAGAAAATCTTCGCATACTTTTTTATTTTTAGAAACACTTATATATATTTATCTCAAAAAGCTATTTTATTTGTTCTCTTTCCACTGATGAAAGRTAAAATAAGTGCCAAATTAAGTAGTCCTTGATTTGGCCTTCTAAGTTTTGTGCAAAGAAACAAGCTAAAAAAGAAAAAGTACATTTTAGTCTTATTTGTTATTTCCTTTATTTTGCTACTGGAAGTATTACAACTTGACCTGTGATTAACTTGATATGACCAAAAGCATAGAAAGGATCAGCGTGGCTATTGAGATTAGTACATTTTTTTTCATGTGAACAGCATATTTAGTGATTTGAATAATAGATGAAGTTTGATCTTAAAACATTTTTTTTTGTTTATTCGTTTAGCAGCATCGCTGGAAAGTATTTTCAGGATTTGTAATCTTAACAGCTAGGCATTCTGTAAATCTTAACCTCCTTTTATCAGTGGCTAATTTATATCTCTATGTGTTCCAAATGATATATCGTTGTGGTATATGCAGCTGATCTCCCTTCCTGGCATTTATTCTTTTTGCATATGTTTATAGATACCAACCTTCCTTTTTGYTATACTAATTAAGGTAACCTTGCCTATTCCTCTCATTATAATAGTTCACCTCTGCACCTCTTCCACAGTGAGTTCATCTTTCTTGAACATGGATGCTCAAGAAATGCCTGTGATATTTCAGGTGTGATTTCACTAGTGTCTGTCTAAATAACTATAATTCTACATTATTGGGAACACCTCACTTGAGATGTACTAAGATGACCTCTGCAATACAACCATGAAAATGTCATTAATGGCTCATTAATGGCTGAGAGACCTTCTCCAAAGAAGTGGTGCACCTACTTACTATTCTCAGTCCTTGCTRACCTATGAGCTTCTATTTTACGGAAGTTCATAATCATTGTGCTAATAGTTGTGCACAATAACTTGCACAATATCAATACGTTATTATTGAATCTTGATCAGTCTTTTCAGTAGGTAGGTTCATCCAAGGCACTCTGTATTATTATCTTGCTGCTTCTGTGAATTGATGGTGCCTAAATTTATATCCTTGTCACATCTCAAATTTGTGAAAGTGCTTACAAAATGCAATTGTTCTGGTACCTGATCCTTAGTCCCGGCACCTTTCAGTATTGCTCATTGCTGCTTCTTTATCTGTGCCCAAATGACCTTCAATTATTGGGGTTACTAATTTCCCATAGTGACGTTATATTTGAGGCCAGAGAGTTGAGACATTGTATGCTGTCTTGTACAATTGCTTTTAGGCAATTGTACATTGTTACTTTGGTTACTTGGTACATTGTTCTGTAAAGTATTCTGTTATTTAAACATATTTATTTTTACTTTTCTACACTTTGTTCTTAACCTTTGCATATTTCTGAGGCCAGCTTGTTTGGTATTTGTTCAGATCATCTCTTTCCTCCTGTTCTTTTGTGTGAGCACTATGCCTTCAGTAATATCTTGCAGTATTTGTTTAAAATGCTTCCTACTGGCAGACTTTATAATCCTAAGTTGTCTAGACTTCTCCAGGAAATTGCTTGACTGATCAACAATGTCATATTTATTGTTAAGATTTAAATTACASGTGAAAAATACAAGCAAGTTGAGGTGATTTTGTTTTCTGTGGTTTTTCAAAATGAGTTTGACCGTATTTGTATGTTCTCGATTAGATTTATGAGATTTAAACATGGAGAGTTATGGGTGGAGAAACATGTTTGTAGTAGAGCTATTTCCATTATAAAGTGGAAAGTTGGAATAGTAATCAGTCAATTGTAGGCTAATTTGTCTCAAGTTGTTGACTTTGCAGAGCTTTACATGACTGATTTCATTAAAGTTCATGTAATCTCAGAAGAGAAAGAGTAGGATGTCTCTGGGTAGGGGCAAGTTATGTAAGTATGTCCAAGAATATTGGAATTTACTTAAAGTATTCAGTTTGTTGCTTAATGAAGACTCAGCAATGAATAGTTAAAAAGAAGACTCAATGAATAGTTAAATAAAAGGGATCGTGTGCATAAAAGTCTTTACATTCAGACAGAGATCCTACAGAAACTGCCCTTTTTTGTTCCGAATATTTCAAAATTCAAGATGATGGAGAAATGCAAAAGGGAAAAAAATTGCATGTTTATATTGCAGGTTTCAGTGTCAAAGTTTAGGTAGTTTAACAATTTTAGAAATAGAAACTGTAATATTCCTTCTCACATTTATTTTAGAGATGTCTATAGACCTCTTTTCTCAAATGTTAGTTATCCATAGCATATTTTTTTTTTATTATACAGGAAGGAACAGCCTTCCTCTATTTCAGAACAAGTCATATAACATARTGTAATACGCGATTTTACCTTAAAAATATTCTAAGTACTGTGTGAAGTACAAATGCAAGGTATACTTTGCAGACAAATAGTTTTTTTCCCTGATGGGCATAGCTGGCAGTCTGATCAATATTTAGAAAGATATCAACAGACTTCTCACGAGCCCTCTTACCCAAATTGTAAATTTTGGATGGACTARCACACAGTTCATGCCTCTTTCCTGGGAAGACGGAGAAAACTGGAAATTTGCAGTCAATAAGCAATGAAAAATCACTTAACCTAGATACATTTTATTCTTCAGTATGAGTAGTTATTGTGATTAGCATTATTTAGTGCCTCTTTATAGCTATTAATGCTGCTAATAATGGATGTAAAAAGTGGATTTAACTATAAGCTCTAAATGAGGTCCTATCGAATTTATCCTTGTGGAGATTTCAGCAAGTGGTATATTTGCAGTTAAAATGTATTGAACAATCACTGGAAAATGGTTTTAGTGTAATAACTTTAATAGTTTACCAGCAAAATTTCTTTCTCCAGTGTATATTTTCAGCCATCTGAGGCTATATGTTTTGGTGAGATCACAGCTTGTAGCAGGTCTGTTTCTGCCTTACTACTGCAAATGGTTCAGTCACAATTGTGCAGAGTGACCGTCTGTCCCTCAAGAGGGACAGAGTTAAGGTGGAGTGAAAATCATCCTAACTGCTCATTTTCTATTTACCAAAATATTTTAGGGGTGTTTTGGGGTGTGTGTTGAATTTTGGAGGAATTTGACATACTGTCTGATACCTGTAGATCTTTGGTAACATTGCATTTACGATTTAATTAAGAATAACAGGTAGTAAACTAGTAGTGTTATCCAGTTGCAGATATTTTGATATGTTGTTGTAAAATTATGATTTAAAGGTAGTCCCTCATTATCGGTGTATTTAGGATTGCAGCAATATTGACATATTTTGCATGTACTTCTAGTTTTATGTCTTGGCAATGTTAAGACTCTATATCTGTCTTATCCATCTATTCCAGGGTCTAATTCTTGGCTAGTTCCTGAAACCAAAGGAGCAATTGTGCAAGGTGGATACGGTCATACTAGCGTCTATGATGAATTGACAAAATCTGTCTATGTCCATGGTGGATACAAAGCACTGCCTGGCAATAAATATGGATTGGTGGATGATCTTTACAGATATGAAGTTAATACTAGGACATGGTAAGTAGGGTTTGTAATGTAGGGAACTAAGAAAAAGAGCAAAAATGGAGAGGTATTTGTCACAGGGGAAGAAAACGTAAGGAAAAGTTGCCAGTGAAGTCGCACAGACAGCTCCATGCTCTTTGCAGGTTGCAGAACAGTGCATATTCTGCAACATGATAGAAAAATGGTGAGTTTGGCACGAGCCAGCTGATTCACAGAGCTGCCTACTGAAGGAYTGGCAAGGAAGAAGCTTGTTGCATGTTGTAAAAATTAAGAAAAGATTCTCTTATAACCACTATAAAAAAAAAAAAAGTGTTTCCACATGCTCTGATTATATTGCTGATATCCTACTGTGTATGCAAATACATATAAATAAGTCCTAAAATCTTAGAACTCTGGAAAGATGTTTTCACAAAGCTGTGTGGGGAAAAAAAAAAAAAAAAAAGCCTTTTGCTTTTGGTACAGGGATGCTTTCTTATTCATATAATGTATATAAATAACATATAAATATTTGTCAATTCTGTGTTCCTCAAGTTAACTGTAATATGTGAATGTCAAGTGTTATATATACAAAATGACTTAATTTTTCTTGCCTTAGAGATGTTCTGAGACACATCTCTTAGAACTCTTTATTTTTTGCAGTTTAGTACTTGCCGTGAGCACTAATGACCTAACTTTACGTACCCAAGACTTGTTCTCAGGTCAGATTGTTGGAAATGAATGATTTTGATTTCACTGAGAGTCTTTTGAATGCTAGAGGCTCGTGGCTGTTCACATCAYGGATAGATAAAAAGATGGAATCTTTTTATTCCTTTTTATCTATTTTTAAATGGTTAGAATCATCATGCTCAGTTGTTATCCCTACCAGTAGCTTTTTTGCATTTTTTTTTATTCTGGGAATAAAATGATATTACATCTTTTGAAGGACATGGTTAATGGTTAATAAATTAGAGTATTATTATTGGTTTAATAACCAATAGTGACTGTATATAACTGYTTATATTAGTGTGGCACCTTGCATCATGTAGAGAACTCTTATTTTGTCTTCATTTCAAGATTATTCTGACAGTAGTTGTTGTAATGTGGGAGTGAAAACTAGCTGAGGCAAATACACTGCTTACACAGAATTATGATAATAAGATGTCATCACTCTGTATGGCATTTCAGGCCTTTAGTGAGCAAGACAACTGTTTGCAGAGAGCCGCTGCTCTGCTAGAGCAGCCCTTTGCAAAGCTGTCTACAGGAGTTTTAGCTAAATGATTCACGTTGGAAAATTTACAGAAGGCTGCTCTCTCCCTCGGTAAGGTATGTTTGCCATGATGAAATCAGGTCCGTATTTTRTTCTTGTCACGAGCTCCATATCAGTTTGGTATTAGACAGATGGAGTACAAATCTACTACTGTTGGGCCCAGGTCATTGCCCTGCTGCAAACAGACCTTGGAAGCCACCGCGAATGAAAAAGGACCAAAGATGAAGGATGCGCTGATGTAATTAGGGATTTGTTCTTTAAAGTTAAAAGCTGGATGTTTGAATCTGGGTGTCCAAGTGAAAATGTTTCTCCTTTCCAAAACCTTGATGGGATAAGCATTCTTATAGCACTCTAAAATTCTTCAGTATACTTTTCCAGAGGAAAAAAAAAAAAAAAAATAGAGTTACATAATGCACAGAGGATTTTGTGTAATTTTCTTTAACTTTGCATACGTTCAATTTCTTATGAAAAATATAAACCTCATTTATTTTACTTTGAAAAATGATAAAATTAATAATCTGAGAAACAATCAAAATATATCATATCGTATTTAATGAATGCTTGTTTTAGCATAGTGTTTTCCTTGTCTTATTTTTTCCTTTTATTAAATTCTTCAGGTATTTATGACCGTATTCTGGTACATATCAATTTACTCCTATGTTTTGCAGGACTATTTTGAAAGAGAGTGGTTTTGCAAGGTATCTTCATTCAGCCGTCTTAATCAACGGTGCTATGCTCATTTTTGGTGGAAACACTCACAATGATACTTCTCTCAGTAACGGTGCAAAGTGTTTTTCTGCTGATTTTCTTGCATATGATATAGGTAGGTATTTTTTATGGTATTTTTCTTCATTGCGTTTTTAAATGTATTTAACTGTATCTTTGAATACAATTATTTTGTATTTAAATTTAATGTTGCATTCTCAAGCCATGGTGATGTGCTCCTTAAAAGCCTTTCTCACAAAAATTTTAACAAGGTGTAAGTTTTTTAGATTAATTAAATTCAGGCTTTTATTCTATAATAGTTTGAAGATCTARATTTGTGGTACAAGGTATACTGGATAAATTTGGGAGTCTTGATCACTTTTCTGTGTTCCTTATGCTGTCCTATAACATGAATAGTGCATATATTACTAAATAAATTGCAGTGGTCAGTGCATTTTAGTGTTATGAAAAACTTATTGAACAGAGAACCTAGCAGCTGTTATCTCCAAGAGTGAATTTATTTATTTATTTTTTCTTCTGAAACTCTATACAGTATTAAAGAACCTTGAATTTTGGGGGGCAGAAGGAGAAGTAAGATTTTCTTCTATTCTGAATATAAATYTGTCATATTATTTTTCTTTTCTTCGCCGTTGTCAGCTTTTAATTATGCAATATTTCACCCTTTTCATTAAGCCTAGTTGATTTGCTTGGATCTAGTCACTGGCTTGACCGAAAGCTGGTGAAATATTAATTCTCTATCTTCACTTACTATTTCTGATTTCTGGTTCCAGGATAGAAATTAGGAATGTTACACTAATTTGCTGACTTGGTTGCTTGTTTCTGTTATCAACCTATGTTTTTAAATGTCACGATAACCCATGATTCTTGTCCTCAAGATGACAATGTGTAAAACTTCGAATGGAGAACTAAGCTTTGTCTCAGAGCAACTCGGGTCAAGTAACTACTTTGCTGTGATTATTTTTATAACTGATAAATGGCTAAGAATTATTTTTTCTTCTGGAATCCCTGTGTTCATACTGTCTATCATTCAGAAACTGATGTTTGCTGCCATGCACTAGTCTCTGCTGTGGCTTTGCTTATAGTGCTTAGATAGAGGCAAAAAAAATGGGTATAAATATGCCTTATGCATTGGAAAAGATAAGTAAATACATTTTTGGGGTAAGTAAGGACAGAAGTGCTTATCCCTTTCTGTTAATAGTTTTAACGTGATGAAAATGTTTTCAGTTTATTATTCCCCTCTTATTGTTGAAAATTTTGTTCTTTGCTTGTATTACTTATTTTTCATTCCTTCGYTATCATGTTCTATCATTGCTGTGCATTCATGTTACTGTTCTTAGTGTTTCCTGTTTTTTAACTTCCCTTGCTCCCTCAGCCTTTTCAATTGAATCCTGCCTAACGTATTGAATTTGTGGAGGGTTTTCCCTTATCTAAATCACCCCTGTGATGCAGAGCTGCCCTATGCTGAAGAGCTGAAGCATCTGCTTTCAGAGTGGGGCTTACAGACATTACATTTTTCTGTCTGGCCTGCCTTTCTCCTCTTTCCCTCTCATTTTTTTAATGCAGATGAGAACAGATTAGTCTCCTTCTGGCTCTGCTTCCTTCCTTATCTATCCTATTATCCCCTCTCGGGTCATCTTTTAAAATTGCGCTTCTCCCTGCTTCCTTTCCCCTGACTTTCTGTCAGGGTTTATTCGCCACTGCAAGATAGTGAATCGTGGCCCGGTGTTTTTATCCGAGGGCCCGGATGGGGGCTGAGCTGTCGGGAGGGAGCGGAGGGCCCAGGGTGAGCAGAGAGGCCTGTGGTTACGYGCCCGGAGCTTCCTCTCCTGCTCTCACCACAAACAGCTTTTCCCCTTCCCTGGAGCTCCTGGCCCTTATTTTATGTATAGATTGCAAATACAACCACTCGAGTTGTAGCTGAGCCAAAGAGCTGATCCACTTGTCCCGGGAACTAAGAAATGGGAATGTATCTGGGCCGCCTGGGCCTGCGTGCGGAATGGCTCCTGGATCCGCTTTTGGCTCGGGTTTATCAGCTGCCTGCAGTTGTGCAGGAGGGCAGGATACGACCCTTTCTGCAGCGGCGGCAATTGGCTCTTTATGGCTTTGGGTGTCAAGACCAACTGCTTTGCGTTTGCTCTCAGAAGCAAATGGCACATTTAATATGTGGAGCAAACGTGCTATTTCTTGCCAGTTTGACTGAGCATCTGAATGAAGCGTTCTCACAGCAGCTGTAATTTTTCGCGTGTGTTGTGCTCTGTAGCTCCTTGTAAGGATCTGATAGTGCAAGCTGTTATTTTGCTCTTGTTTCACCTGAGGAGCAGTGGTTATGAATCCTGGGATCTGAATAAGTGCAACTTTCAGACCTTCTCGTCACAGGAATGCATTATTCTACTACATGAAAATGATTTACAGTAGTTTGTTTTGTTTGTGATGCAAGTGTATTTCTTTATTTAATGAATTACAAATTCTACACATAAAGTATTATATTTTCCTGCAAGTTGCATTTTGCATGCCTTAATTTGATGAAGTGCAAAACTCCCCAGATGTAGTAATTCATTTTTAAGAATTTTTATAAAGATTAATTTGATAGAAATTTAATTACAGTATTATTTTCTTGAACAAATTAAATGTACAGTCTCTCAGCACACATCAGATACAAGCATACTTTTTCAGATAATAATAAATACTTCTTTTATTAAGAAGGAGATGATTATGGCATGGGTATCTGCAGAATTTTGTTTACCTTATTCGCATCCTGAGGTTTCGGGAAGTGCTTGGAAGACAAAACTTACTGTGTTATCAGTATCATGTTTCCTAGATAGGTTGCAAATGATGGAGGGTAGTGCTCTGTCTTGTAAAAAATGGGTGCTGTCTGGAAACAAGCTGAACCGTGGAGATAGAGCCTATGCTGTTTATGCTCCAGTTGGGTCATAGAGTATTGTTGATTATATCTTTTATTATATGTGACATAGTTTTATGAATAGTTTGCTTTAGATTTTTTATTACCTCCAAAACCAGCGGTTTTATATTCATCTGTAACAGAGAGGAACCTCTACGAATAGCTGTTAAGTTTACCTGTCTAAGGTTTGCTTTTAATATAAATTGGTAGTTTTGTCCCCTCCCTCTAGCAGGGAGACCAGACACAGGTATTTCCACCATGCAACTTATTTTGCCTGTCTTAGGATAGGTTCCCCYCACCTCTGCAGTGCCATCGCTGTCCAGGTAATGAACTGACTTTTAAATGACTAAACGTAGSTGTGGTGAACCAAGAAAGAACTTAATTTGATGCATAAGTTTTAAGCTTTTAAAGTTTAAAGCTTTAAAACTTGCCACATGCAAATATGTTTATTACAAGTGAAGACTGAGAAATCTGGAGAGGTTATACAAATTGTTAAGTTACCCTATTTTCATAATTCGTAATTATTTGGTATATATACTTAAATAAGCACAGTGATGTAATGAGAAGTCTGCAGCATAACATTGTCCATAGAAACATGTCCATTGCTATGATTTTGAAGCGTCTTAAGACAGCAAATCCGAAAATACATTTCTGCTCTCTGGAAAAATACTTTCTTTTATCTGGTCTGCTGGAAGTTTTATTGGTTGCTGTCTAGGTGTGCTACTATGGGGTTTGATTATTTCAAATCAATAAAACTCAAAGAGGAACTGGTGGACAAAGGACTTACAGTTCTTAAAGATCTAAAATCTTAGTTAAGTATGGCAGAAAAAGGCAACTGTGCCAAAATCACACGCRTAAATGCTTGTACAGAATTGCTAAAATGGAGATTCTGGAATGCTTCATATTAAGTGGAAGTCCTGATGTAACTTTTGTCTCAAAAAAACTTTGTGGAAGGAAGATAACTGGTGATATCAGGGTACCAAAAGTAAAATAATCAGGTGGCTGGCACTACTAAAGGAGACGTTTTATCTTAAGATTGAGTTATGAAGATAGATAAATGTGTTATCCACAGATGTATCATGAAATACACTTGAATTGAAATTCTGCGGCTAACTGGAGAGTGAATAATGTTAAGATTATGTTGCTGATCACAGGATCAGGGTGATGACAGGAGTTGTTATGGGAGTTGAAGARGGCTGTGAATGCAGAGAGCACTGTCATAACGGGATCCTTCTGCTGGAGTCCTCTCTGCTTTAGAAATGTCATGGTAGTACATGAGATAAAGCTTAAGCTTTTAGTGATAATAGCTTCTTGGAGCGCCTGCTCAGCAAACCCATMCAAACCCGTGTGCTTTCCTTTTCTCTTTCAGCTTGTGATGAATGGAAGATTTTACCAAAACCTAATCTGCATAGAGATGTCAACAGATTTGGTCACACTGCTGTTGTCAGTAATGGGTAAATGAAGCCTATTTTAAATTTTCCTGACCATTTTTCTGAACCAAAAGGAAAAAACAAAAAACAAAAAAACCTCACTCATGGTAACAGTTATACCTCCATGAAGTGTGCCTAAATGATGTACAACAGATATAATTTATTGATATGAAAAATAGTGGTTAGTAGTAGCTTCTTACAGGTCTTAAATCATCAATACAGCTAATCATCAATGTGCTGTGTGCTGTGAAATGTGCTCAGAAGCTTTTTTTTTTTTTATATGAACCTTTTAGCATATTTTTCTTTGTCTTATGACCTACAGTGAATTAGAAATTCTTTGGTCCTTGCTTTTGTGTAATGGCTAGAATCTTCTTGCAACATTTAATTCATTGTTTTTCTACAAGCCTAAAATTGGGAAAAAAAAAATCTTACCGAATTTTCTATAATGGGAAAAAGTAAGATTTTGAAGATGATTATCAACAGTTTACAGGAAAAAAACATCTGCCAGCATCAGATTAGATTAGATATTGCTTATCTGCTATAAAATATATTTTCGTRAAACTTGAGAGTTCAGTAAAATGTAATCTGGAAACAGAATATAGAGTGGAAATGGAGTTTGCTGGACCTAATGGCTAAACTCTGCTTCCCATGCCTACCAACAAGAGAGAAAATTGGCTACCAATCATCATCTTTTTCATGTGAAAGGTGTGGGAAACTGAAATCAGATTAAAAAAAAAAAAAAAAAAAAAAGGTGGTTTGCATA